TTCCGTCTTAATGAATACCAGATGGCTGTGATATCGGTTGTGACCTGCCAGCCGATCATCACAGTGACCGAACATAAGACTGCAGAGTGAATTTTCCGTCTGGAGACTTGTCGGCTTTCCACTCGGTGCACTGTATATCAGTGCGTCTCTACGCTAGCAGTGATGTGGAACCGGCTGTTGTTGATGGAAATCGATGAACCGGTTTACTGAACTTTTACCCGAGCTTCTGGATTGCTTTCTGAACTGCATTGATCTCTGGTGTTTGTTCCTTAGGGATCAACTTCTTGACTTGTGTTAAAAGTTTGGACCTGAGTTTGAGTTCTCGTAATGCCAGCGGTTACTCGTGTGCGTGACTGCAATTTTCACCCGTTTTCTCTATTTCGAAATACTTTGTGGTCTCAGCTGATGGGCAGCCTGGAGTCTATGAACTCTGACGGTTACAGTCTCACGGGTCACCTCTTGATGATCTTTCTGGCTTCGAATTACTTCACTGTCTGTACAGTGCTTATTTAACTTGATAAAATTCCTTTAGCTCTTATCAACTAGTGTATTAGTCTTTTTTCATTCTTATAGACACTTGTAACTACACTCTTGAACGCTAATTTCAGATTTCTTTCGGGAACACTTTCTAGCAGCCGCCTTTTCTCGGTTTTCTTCGTGCTAGGGACTATTGAGCATAGTTGCAGTCAGATTCAATGACTTCTTAGAAATGGGCATACAGCGGGATGGTTAAGTCTGTTGGTTTCAGGAACCGAGTGAGCTATACTTTCGTAATGAGTTTCGATTGCCGCACTACATTCAGTCTTCATCACATGTTACAAAACGATTATTTAACGTGCAATCCTGCCAACTGGACAGATAGTTTCACTCGGTACGCAGTCTGTGCTGACCTGTGCTGTCTGTCCATCAAATCTGCTCGTATGCATCCGGTTATTCTACAAGTCCGTCTACCGCGCTTCTGTGGTTCTGATGGAGATGTTCTGTTGGACGTTTTTCGTACAATTTAGGCATACGAAATTGACAAGTCGGGAGGTTTTTGTCCTAAAAAGAGTTGGACGGCTGACCCCTAGGTAGAACGCTCCACCGCCGAGTTGTCAGGAGGTTGCTACTGTCTTGCAAGAAGATAGCCAAGACTACTCTGGACTTCTATTTCTGCATATATTTTTTTTCTCATAACCACCAAAGCTGAGGCGGTGAATGGTCGTGCTTTGTGAATTGTATGTGCCCAAATAGCCAGTAAAACATCAGAAAAAATGCCTACCCTGAGAAAAGTGATGTGTATGCCTTATATTCAGCGTTTGTGCTTTAATGGTTTTGCCGTCAAGCCATCCCCCTTTTAGAGTCAATGCGTTTGTTACATAACGGACTGTACTTCTAGAGTTCGTGTATTTCATGCGAAAGTAAAGTTGCTATCCCAGTTCAAAAAGGAGAAAGAAGGGGACCTCAGGGGGTAGAGAACATTACTTTAAGAAAGGCTATACCTTTGTATCCCCTTTGCTTCTGCCTTATGTAGATCC